TTAGATCTTTCCTTGTGTGTGAACACTTTCATTAGAGGTTATTGTTACTTCGTATCAGGTATAACTCTCTACTCCCTTTTGGTTTCAGATCTGGTCCAGTTTAGGTTCAAGATTAATCATTGAACATGTAGTTTTCTAAAATAGGGAATGTGATTCCCACATGGGAGAGGGAGAAATTTTTGAAATTTCGCCCAACCTTCCTGCATGATTCGGCCATCCATATGATGGATCTCTCATCCCTTCACTCTTATCATGAACTTTCCTTTTTTGTTTCCAAGCAAAACCCAACAAACCTCTGATTGAAAGAGTTGATCGGCATCGTTGTCCAAGAAGCTTGTTCGACTTCCGTAACAACTTGTTTCAAGCCACTACCAAGTTAGACAGCGAAACAAACTCGTTTCAGGCCACAACGAAATGACAAGATACCTATAACTCCAAGCGCCTGCATTTTCGAGGTTAACCATGTCTAGGAATCTTGTTCGACATGAAGCAAACCTATATCTCTAGCTAATCTCTGTAATACCCATGGTTAACAACTAATGGGGTTGATTTCTTTGTTTCATGTCTTGTTGTCATTTATTTTTTTAATTTCAGTATTGCTATTGTGCTTCAAGGTTAATCTCATTAGTACCTAGTCCAAAACTGGATGAGGTGGCTCTAACTTGTTGGTTTCTTTTTAAATCCGCCCCTGCAACGAGTTGCAGTAGTAGAAGAGATGTGCACTGCGAGGAGGTTGGAGACAATGGCGAAAAAGGGATGAGGAGAACAGGGAGTGGAGAGGAAAAACAGAGCAAGGAAAGACAATTAGGAGAGATGGTGAAGAGTGATCGGAGGAAGGGGAGAAGTTGTCAATTTTCCCGACTGGAGAGTGACCTCTCCAGACAACGAAGGTGCCGACAAACAGTGTGGAAGAGGTCACTCTCTGAAGCCGTTCTGGCCACCAGTGAGGATGGATACTTCAAATATTTTTGAAATTTCTCATGAGGATTAACTCCTACCAACTTCATTTCTTCAACACAAAGGGAAATTGCTAATGCATTTTTGTTTCTCTACTCTTTTTTTCCACTACATCATTCAATCTGCAGCACATTCTCTTTTGGTAAAGCAAGCAACAGATGACCATGTATAGAGGAGGGCGAGGAGCAGGATAACAGATTATAATCAGAAGGGTGCATGGTAGGACCCTAATGCACCTGTTCGCTGTGGCCTTGTGGGAAATAAACGACGTAGCAAACGACCGGCGGCAAGGTGACCAAAGATCCGGTGCACGTGTGCCATAGTTCAAAGTTGATGCTTTTTCTCTCTCCTACAATGGAATTATTGGGAAATAATCAACCTCTTTTTTTCTCAAAAATGCCGGAAACGGCTAGGAAGAAATATAAAACAAGCATTTTTCCAAAGTTAAAATAATAACCTTCGCACGCATTCGCCATTGACACAACACTATTCATCGACGCCTTCATTGTATAGGATCCGACAACTCCTTCAAGGTCACTCTCTGGAGCTGTTCTGGCCACCAATTTCTGGGTCAACGGATGGTGCAATTGTCTGTAGGTGCTCGGCCTCCCTCTCTATAGTTGTTGTAGACTTACAAGCTTGTAGGTTGCAGATGGTTGATAAAAAAAATTAGATGATACTTGAAGGGCATTTGTGTCTTTTCCCATGACACTTAATAGATGGTTGACAACAGGTACTAGATTGTCGCACTTCGAAAGTTTGGGTACTAGATTGTCACGTTTTAAAGTTCGGGTACTAAATTGGCACTCGGCCTAAAGTATAGGGTACCTATCTGGAATTTTCCCTTTCTATAAGGGTAAATTTCTAAAATTACCCTTATGGTTTAGTTAATTGACTAAATATACCCTACTATTGTATAATGGTATTCCACAGCTTTTTTATAATTGTCAAAAGGGCAAATTTCTTAAACTACCCCTAAAGTTTAGGAAATTGACTAACTATACCCCTAGTGTTTCAATATTGTCTTAAAGTACCCCTACTGTTTCTGACAATTGACTAAACCTTTCTTACCGTTAGTGTCTGTTAACGGAAGGATTAAAAAGACTAATTTTCCATACATTCTTCTTTAAATTATCAATGTCGCTTGTCTTCCCTTAAGGAAAGTCTTACACAGTCTCTTCCATGCAATGGCAAAGTACCGCTACTAGCATTAGTATTGCCACCACTGGCGTAGCAGTCGTAGTCAAAAAAGATGTCCAAGGGTTTATTGGCTATTACTGTTATAGGATCAGTTGGGATCTTTTTGGGAGCATGTACTCTTATCTACAGCTTGTGGGCTAGAATATGTTGTTGCTAGTAGAAAAAAGTTCATAATTTCGTTCAACCCACCATAAACGGAGGCAATGCTAATGTTGGCACGCCAACAAGCAATTATGAGTGCTCTGTCGAGATCATCCACCATTAGGCGGCAGGGCTCCTGAGTAATTATGCAGTAGAGGAGTGGGACCTCTTTGAAGCATGCAGACAGTGTCGAGGAATTCACCCTATCAGAGTTTGTAGTGGTCACTGACGGCTTCTCATTAGAGAAGAAGATTGGAGCAGAGAAGGATGGGTTCATTGGGTCTCACCTCTGAGAGGATTTGATGGCCGAGACTCAATGCACTCTCCAAATTAGTCACATTGTCTTCCATCGTCGGGCGATCTCTTCCCTCGAAGCTCATGCACTTTTCCGCCACTTATGCAATTAGCTTCATTGCCCCGCCTCGTTCACCTTCGGCACTCCCACCCTCCTATCTAACACCCTCGGTAACTCTCCCCCAATTAATCCACCACACTAATAGGTCCTCCCTCGCCGTCCTCCTTCAATAGTTTTCCACTCTACCTCTTTCTCTCTCCAATAGTTTCTACTCCACCCACCCACCGCTGGGTGGAGTTATAGGGCAATGCCGCAACAACTACTATGGAACTCTTGTGGTTCCTATAGGAACGAGACCTGAAGAAATGGAGACTCCGCCGCTAACGTCATAATATTCACTAAACGCGGACCGCTTTCTCTTCTTTTTCGTCATGTCCCCATAGGAGGCCGAAGATGTGGTTGGAATGTTAAGTGTGCCATCGATGGACATGGTGATGGCGAGCACAGTACCGGTACCTGTAGCCAATGAATGGTCTCACCATCGAACTTGTAACCGAGTTCTCTTGTGAGCTGAAAGATTCTGGCCACGTAGGTTGCATGCATCTAGATCCTACACCCTTGACCTTCAACTTTGGTATGTTGGTCCTTCGTAGAAGCCCTTCTCCTAGGAACCATAGAGGGAAGAGAGAGGGGTCAGAGGAGGAAGGGTGTGCCGGGTCAAGAGGAAGGGGATAAGGGTATCATTGGATTTAAAAAAAATTTAAACGTCACATGGTGTTACGTGTTTATGGGTTTAACGGAATATTAACGGATGTTAATGGTAAGGGTTGAGTTAGTCAATTGTTAGAAACAATAAGGGTAGCATTAATCAATTTTCAGATAGTAAGGGTACACTTAGTCAATTAACTAAACCATAGGGGTAGTTTAAGAAATTTACCCTTGTCAAAAACCTCCTTACAATTAATGTTCATTAATAAGGAGATGAAAAACACTATTTTACTCATTATTTTTTTAACTTCGATAAAAGGCCAAAAACTTAAACCATCGCAACCCAATGTTGTCAACTCTGGGGAGGTGTCTTCCTCTCTAGTTCTGACCATCTCCTCTTTTTTCACTCAACAAATTCAAGGCAAACTCTAGCTTTGACTCCAACATTACTCTATGCAAAACCTAGCCACCTTCTCAAATCTGAAATACATGGGCTCCAAAGTGTTGTTTGATTGCACTTTTTAGAAGTCTGAATATGAAAATGTTACTTTTTAGACCTCACCCCTTGTTTGGTAATACCTCTTAAATTGGGTTTGAAACTGATTTTCAGATCTGAAAATCATAGACCTTGGGTCGACTCTTAACATGCTCAGACGCGTTTTAGAGCCGGCCCAATGCCCAAAATATCCTTACAATTTTTCATAAGTGACCCGAGTTACCCCTGATACCCCCAAACCCAAAAAACCTAAATATTCGACATCTCTCTCTCTCTCTCTCTCTCTCTCTCCCTCTCTCTCTCTTTTTCTCGTGCACGTGCTTTCACTCTTTCTCTCTTCGCCCTGTCTTCCCGCCACTGCTGTTGCAACCTTGTAGTGATCTCTCTCTCTCTCTCTCTCTCTCTCTCTCTCCCTCTCTCTCTCCCTCCCCTATCTTCCCACCACCACCACCGTCACTGCAACAAGCAGTAGTGGTGGTACGGTGAATAATAATAATGCTTTTATTAATTATTAATTATTAATTATTTTTATTTTTTATTAAACATTAATTATTTTTATTAAATTTACTTGTATTATTTATTATTTTATTAACTAGTAAATTTTAATTATTTCATTAATTTTTAAAAATTATTTTAACTTTTATTTGTGTAAATTATTAATTATTTTAATATTTTTATAATCATTATTTTTTTTAATTTTAATCGTTTCATTTATTAATTAGTAATTATTAATTATTATTTATTATTTGTATTGTTTCAATATTATTTTGAGGTTGATAATTATTTTTTATGAGATAACGTAAATTGAATTCAACTTTTCCAAATTGTATGTTTTAGGGGTAAAGTGGTAAAACTAGTAAATTTCAGATGATAAAGGGTTGATCCAACACAAACAAACTTATGGATTCAGATCCTCTAGAAAGATGCCTCTTTTTAGATTTTAGACATATTTAATATCTTTTTAACTTTTCAGATTTATCAAAGGCCACCCAAAATTTTATCTCTTCCAAAACCAATGCTCATATGATAATTTTAAGGGTGTTTGGTTTCATTTACATTTATTGAAAAAACGCTGCCACCTCAGCGCCATATCAGCATTTAGGTTAATAAATGTTTATTGGCTTCGAAATTATTGTTTTGTGCAAGTATTTATTGAAAAAATGTTGATAAACGTTTTTTCATTGATTTTCGAGATAGGAGCCGTTAGGGAAGCGTCAAATTCTCGCTTCCCCAACGGCTAGCAGTTTCACGAAAGGCATGTATGATGTGGCGCTGATGTGTAATCTGATGTGGCACAGTTGGTTTCTGATATGCTGCATTGTGAATATCTTTTGAAGCCCTAACCACGAATTGGGATAAGTGGATGTCGCAGACGATCGGTGGATCAGGGAGTTCTTTTCACACGGTGATGTTGACTAGTGGACACTGGTAAGTTCGTCGTCAACACCCCATTAATCCCTCGCCTTGCTGCTAGCAAGGTGTTTTTCTAACGAGTCATGACATTTTCTCCTTGTTTTTGCAGCTCTGTAACCAATTTTCCATTGGCACCCCGCTAATCCCTTGCAAATCGTTGCTTCTTTTCGCCTTGCTGCTACCATTCCCCTCCTCTGAACCAGTCTGTTGTTTGTATGCTCCACAAAGTCTCTCTTTTTTTTTTTTTTTTTTTTTTTTTTTATAGATAAGCTCCACAAAGTTTGATGCTTCTTTATTTATTTTCATTTTTCTCATATACATTATTGTTCTATTTATTAAAAAGAAAGAGTAAAAACATTAATATTTTAGGAACAAAGTAAAACTTTTAATTTCTAAAATTTCAGTTCCCCATCAATGAAACTTTTAATTGTTCTACCCTCTCCTTGCAAGAGCACCAGCCAGAATTTTTTTTCTTGATCTTGAGATCCATTTGAACAAGTTGTTCAAACTAGACGTTAATGCCCTTGCTTTTCTTATGTGATGACTAAGAACACATGGCCCTGATGCCCTGGCCAACAATCCTGAATTACAATCTTGCCAACCCCTTTCATCATTTAAATTCTGATTTGATGAATATACCAGTTTCAGACTTTGCTACAAAGGATAATTATATAAAATATTGCCTTTAAGGATATGCCTACTACTTATTTACCTCGAAGCCTTGATGCTGTATTTGAATATTTGCATTTAGTTGTTAGATGAAGCAAACTAATCATACTCTAACAAGTAAGCTTAGAGATCTTTTGGCAATTGTTCCATCTTACATGACAAGAATCTCCAAAATATAAGTGGAGACAGACAATGAGCAGGGTAAATTACTGGTTTTGTATGACTAACTATTATGAGAATGTTACTGGTGTTTGTGTTTTTTAACATGGGATATTTTGGACCTTTTGGTAATCATGCCATCTTACATGGCAAGAATCTCCAAAATATATGTGGAAGCAGTCAATGACTAGGGTAAACTATTGGTTATGTATAACCAACTAGTATGAGAATGTCCCTTTTTCCAAATTAATGCTTTATGATGATCCTTGATTTTACAGAAGCAACTCATCCAGTGGCAACTTATCCTATACGCACTGGTCTTGTATCTACAAGGACAATAGCATTGTCACTCTCACCAACAAACCCATGGCACTATCTTATTATACACTAGGTATGCTTTGCACACATACTTACACCCATAAATAATAACCACAAAATGGTAAATTATGTGGGTGTGTTGCCATTTAAGAAATGTCCCTGACTGAAGCATATACTTTGACTAAGGCTTAATAAGGACTTAAAACAGGTTTTCTGTGCTATCCATCCATGGTATTCCAACTTCCAAAGGTGTCAACAGCTAAGAAGCACCAAATGTACCGCAGATGTCTGATATGGATACCCATGGCATACTAGCCCTGAGAAGCATGTAGAATATATTTTGAAGAAATTCCAATCAGGAGATCAAAAGTTGTCAAAATCTTATAATTTACTATATGATTCACAATTCAAATCACAAACCCTGTAGGATCTTTAATTCAAAACATTGAGTCCTTCCCTGAAAAACTTTATGGACTATTTCTCAAACTTTAGGATAATTGTAGTTAATGTGATTATTGACATTGTGTTGTTATAAGAACTTTACTAGTTTGGATTATTTAAGACCAATTTCAAGATCATTTTGGGTTTGTTTTCTCCATCATGTGTGTATTGAAGGAAAAAGCACTATAGGTGAATTAATAGGTTTTGGAATGAAAATTGGTTATATCAACTACTGCTTCTAGTGTATGATTGATAAACTTGGTGGTAGGTTGGACTTAAATGATGGGTATGAACTGAAAATGGGGTAAAATCATTTTCTCTTGGTTTAAGTTTTTAGTTGTATATTTTCAACTTTTTGGAAGTTTTTGAAAAAAAATAGAAATGATCTTAGAATTTATTATAAGATTAACGATTCAATTCAACCTTCTCTACTACTTAGGATAGGAAGAAGATTTTCAGGTCCATGGCGTTTTCCAAGAGGAGGAATAACCTCTAAATAGCTCACAGGCCAATTGCAAATATTGGCAACATACTATCCGTTACCCATGCATGTTTTGGACCATTTTCACTCCACTCTTTCCCTAGTGCTCCAAGGAATTGTGATAGAACAGAGAGGCTTCAATCACAAACCATTTCAAGATTATGGCTTACATCCAAGACAAACCATATAATATGTTATTACCCGTATGACCACTAACACCCATGCAAGGAAATGTGGACTGGTTTAGTTATTTAACCTATCCAATGGGTTTTGTAGTGGGGTTCAACCATGGGTTGTGGAAAGTGAGCATCTAATAAGAGAACCCGCTTAGTTTATTTCCTATCCACTCTCCTTCACAACCTGGTCAATACAAGTAGAGAAAATATGGAATTCAATTACATAGGAAGATAAAGCCAAAACCTATTGTTGTGCAGAAAGGAAGAAAGTAAATGTGACACTGGAAATGATCATTAGAAATGCTACTGGAACAAAAAAAGGTTTTGGTATTGAAGACGTTTGCTATCAGTTGTTAAATTATTTAATAGATTAGTGAGGTCCAAAGAGACTGAGAATAGGCACCATTTTAGAGAGAGAAAACCTAGTTTCAAGTTTTGTTTCTTTTTCTTTTTTTTTTTTAACTTTTGTTAGGTTAATGTCTTCCAAGTTCCAATCACCATACCCTCTTTGCAATAATGTTGTCAATCCAACATATGTATTTCTGCATACAGAGTTGTATATCAGGATGTTTTCACAACCAATTGAAGGGGATGAGTTCAAAAGCGGGGTAGATAGTGCAGCGCGGTCAGACATGGAAGAAGAAACCTTTATAAAATTAATGGTTTAAATGGTAAGGACCAATAACAGGCCTATAGGAACATTCAACACTGAAGGATGGAATTATATATGGACCAAATTTAATGAGATTCACAGGAAGACTTACCATCATAATCAGTTTAAAAACAAGTTTCATGCACTAAAGAAGAGACAATCGGGGTATTTGTCTCTTATTAACCACATTGGCTTTGCAATGGATCCACTGACGATGATGCCTACAACTAGTGAAGAAGTGTAGGACGAATTCTGCAAAGTAAGTAGTATTTGAGTTGATTCATTTCACATATGAGTGTAGTGGTAAATGTTGATTTTGTGTGTATATTTGCATAATAATAAATGGGTTAAAAAGTATCAAACGAAGGTTTATCATCACTGGGATGAATTGCATTATATTTTTGATGGGACACATGCAACTAGTTAGCACATGTATAGTAATGATGAAGACCCGGACATTGTAGCTGAGCAATCACAACGTGTGCACTCTTCACCCACATTTAGCGAGAAAGAGCATGACACACCATATACAAGTGAATCTCAAGTTAGTCCAAACATTGTAGATGTTGGTGGCAATGTCACATCTATACAAGGGGGAGACAAGCACAAAAGAGTTGGCAACCCCCCTTCATCCATGAGGAAAGGAAAGAAGATTTGTTTGCCACCGAGCATTGAGAAAGCCTTTGGTAATTGAACAAAGGCTAGTAAGCTAAAGTATGAGATGTAGAAGGAACGCATGGAGAGTGAAAAAACAGAGGTGCAACAAATAGTAACTGACACTAGAAATTTGGAGACATGCATAAAAATGCTTAATGACGTGTACCGAGTCCATGTCTTACCTGCTACTTGCTACGTCAAAGCAACAAAGTTGTTTCAAGAGGACTTTTAGAGGCGGTCCTTCATTGCAATGGATCCAAATTTGAGGGCTACATGGCTACATGCCTTGGTTGAGGATGAGAACTGGCATCAAGCTTGTTTGATTAGCCTTAGTTGTTCACATGTCTTTGTTTGTTTTTTTGAGACATAAAACTTGGTTAACTTAACATTACTTAGGTTGTGATGCACTCTTTGTTTTTATGGAGTTTTTGATGAACTTTTGTTAACTTGATTCACATATTGCTTTATGGTTTCAAAATTTTCTTTTCCTTTTCGGTGGAATGGTTAAATGGAATGCTTTGTGCTTTATGGATTGCTTTTTGGTAGAAATATATTGCATTTATTCATGGTTTTCTGCTTTATTGCTTTGTGGATCTTATGATGCAGCAATGCCTCCTCATAGTGGTCGTGAAACTAGGGTTGAGACTAGTTCATCATCGGATGAGGATGAATAGTAGTCAACACAATTGTTATCCCATTGTTATTAGAGACATATGCATCGAGCTTAACTAAGCTGCCTTGTCGCACCTCTTCTTTGATTGGACAGAATTATATGTGGCAAGAAATACTAAACGATCTTGAAAACCTAGATAGGTGCTATGAGTCATTTAGGATGGAACACCATGTATTCAAAAACTTTGTTGACCTGCTTAGGGGGAGGGGTCTTCTAAAAAACACAAGACGGACCATAGTTGAGGAGTCTCGTGCAATGTTCCTACTCACCATAAGCCAAAATGATAGAAACTGTGCAATGACCAAGCAATTTCAACATTCAACATGGACCATTAACACTCACATAAAGAAGGTTGTTAGAGCAATATGTAAGTTAGGGAAGGAGCTCATTACTTCACCATCCTTCACAGAGACACCGACACACATCAGAAGATCAGAGAGATACTTTCCCATGTTTAAGGTACTTGAATTAACATATATTTGCTTATACCAAATCTTATTATACCAGTGGATTAAGGTAATTGTGCTCTCTGTATCTAGGATTGTGTGGGGGATATAGATGGCACCCATGTCTCAGCATATGTACCACATGACAAGAAAATCCCCTTTAGAGGCAAGAAGAAGGTTTGTACATCAAATGTCTTGGCCTTGTGTGCCTTTGACATGATGTTCAAATTCATATACACTAGGTGAGATGGTTCAACTCATGATTCTAGGATACATGCAGAAGCTATTGCTAGGTCAAACATCTGCTTCCCAGAACCTCCTCCAGGTGAGACTAATTATCTCATCATCATCTTACTACATTAATTAGTAGACTTCATTGTAATGGTATATTCTCCTCATTATATACATGTAGGGAAATACTATCTTGTTGATTCTGGCTTTGCTAATGCACCCGGCTATATCACACCATACTTTGGTCGGCTTTATCACTTAAGTGGATTCCATGGGCAACGAGGTAGGTTTAGAACCAAGGAAAACCTATTCAACTATATGCACTCATCTCTACGGAACGTAATAGAGTGATGTTTTGGTGTATTGAAGGGTAAATTTCCAATCTTGAAGAACATGCCATGCTATGATATGTCCTTGCAATGGTTCGTAGTTATGGCATGCTTCATTACTTATACTTCATCAGGAGAGAGGCACGTGAGGATGGAGATCTAAACATATGGGTTGATGAACAAATGGTAGATGATGAAGATGATGAAGTAAGTGGTGGTGAATGGTGGGCATGATGGTGAACATGCTTCTAGTAACAACTCACAAATCAACTCAGTGTGGGATCAGATTGCTAATGAGCTATGGGAGAGATATCGGAAGACACACTAGCATATTTGTAGTTTAGTGTGAATTGGGTTCAATTTATTTTTATTTCGTATAGTTATTATGCACTAGTTTAGTTTGATAACATGACTTTAGCTTACATTGCAGGACATGTATAATTTGCAATTGTTCATTCCATTTTTACGTTACCATTTAGTTTAATCATGATACTTGTTTTTACAATTGCCATATAAAACTATATGCAGATGCTAATGATGGAGGGAGTTTTTTTGCCGATGTGCTCATGTGGAAATGGAGAAATGACATTGCACATGTCCATTGAGAGGGGATCACAGGGGCTCTTTCATATGGGTAGACCAGTACAATGGGAGATACCAACACCCGATAGGGATGCCCCAAAATGACACCGCTCTTCGTCATTTGTGCAACCACAACCAACTAATAGTAACATTGCTTTGTTAGCTTGTTATGGTTGCAATATCCTATGTTTTATATTTTGGGCATGGGTATGCTTGGTTGTTCTAGTACTCAAGATTATGTAGTAAAATGATAAAAATATGGAACTTGTCTAGCAACGTAGACTTTTTAGAATTTAATTACGTACAAAAACTTATTAGATGTCATAGTGATATAGGCTTATATACAAAAACCTATCAGACTTGTTAACTAGCACTGCATACTTGTTAGTATGGAACACATAAGCCTTTTGTGATTTTATTTTTTCAATTTTCTTGGATGCAGCTGAGAGAGAGAGATGCCTTGGAGGTACACATATTGGTACATTGTATCTTTTTCTAATTATGCATCTTCTGATTTGGACTTTTACGTTTTAGTCCTGAAAAGAATATTGGCTTTTAATAGTTTAGACTTTAAATGGCTTATTGTGAGCAAAGAAAAGCATGCATGCAAGATCTTAGATGCAATAAGTGTAATATTTAGTTGGAAGGAATACAAATACAAATGCAGATATGTAGAGTGCAAAACCTTGTATTTTGTATCATTTTGTATATATTTACATTTATATTCTTTCCAAATTGAGCCTAAGATTAATAGAGTGAACCAACCTAAATGGTCTTGGATTTTCAATAGGTGAGTCTGGGCCATTGTAGTTGAGGTTTTTTTTTTCTTTTTCTTTTTTTATTTTTTAACTTTTGGGTTGGGTCTAATTTATCATTGGGTAAACCAACCTGGGTTGATCCACATCCAATGTGTTAGAAACATTTTTAATACATTGGATCCAACTAACCCAACGAAGTTTAAATGTCCAAAAATGAGGGGTGCATAAAATGTCTTGCCTTCTTTCTTGTCTTGGATGAGGTCATGGTGGAGTTAGGTCCCTTTCTTGTCTTGGTTGACTAATGGCTCATATGCATCCAAGTGAAAGTGTCACACTGAAACCCATATGGTTGTTTCTTGAAACACGCCTTCAAACAACTAATATGCAAAAAACATTTATTGTGCTGAGTTGTAAAGGGGCGTTTCTTGAAATGCCCAAAATAGGCCCGACCAAACAACCAAAGGAAAAACGTTTAAAGTGAGCGTTTATCAAATAAACATTTATCTGATAAACGCCCCTCCAATAAACATAAACGAAACCAAAACATACTTTATGTGTAGAACTGTTCATTGTTTTAGCTCCAACAATCAAGAACCATCGATTTAGCACCAACAATCAAGAATCACCCAAATTACTGAAGAATTGTTCATTGTCTTCATCCTTAAGGCAAGAACGCAGCAGTAGTAGCCTCCGGTTTTCCAATTCTTTCCCCCTCCTCTTTCATTCATCTTTTCCATTCACTCATACCCTCTTTTCCTCCCTATCCTCTTTTCCCACTTATTCCCCATCCCATACTCTAGTCACAGAAAGTAGCTCGTAGCGGTGATGTTCGCTCAGTTCTTAGTCAGATTTTGGTGGTTTGTTATTGTTTTCCAGAGTGCATCTTGATCTAAAGTGCTTCACCAACTTTCTTTGTCATTTTTGGCTCCTCAGACACATGTTAATCTTTTGTTCTTCGCCAGCATGACAAAGGAGATGGTAGTAGCAGTGATCTGAGTATTTATTCCTCTGGTGATACTAAGTAGCATTCTTGACTCTAGCCCTCTTCATTGTCTTGGTCATTTTCTGGTGGAAGTGGCTCTCTAAAGACAAGCAATTGAAACAGAGCCAACTGAGTCTATCTCTCTTACAACGTTGACAAAGTTTAAGCAAAAACTTACAAGAAGGTTCCATTCACTATATTTTCCCCCGGTTTATCTCCTCTCACCTTGTGTTCCTCCCTTTGATTTTTCTTAATGGAATGACGGGTGCTTGGGGATGTTACCAGAGCTGGTGATGAGGTCATCACTGAACCACTTCCACTTTCTCTCAAGACTCTTAATGAATGGCTTCAGGTTTGGTTTTTGTTTCATATCACCTTCGTTTTGTTTTCGACTTCTCCCTCTAATTTGAAAATTGCAGGCAAAACCAACAAAATTGGTTTCTCAGGTAAAGAAAATACAGGAAGAGCTCTCTTCCTTGAAAGACCGTGAGCTTCTTGTAGCAAGAAGGGAAGAAGGAGAGAGAGAAAGAGTGAGGTCGGAGATGGAGGGGTCGAGTTGCAATGACGGTGATAAAACAAGGGACAGAGAACAAAGGGGAAGAAGGGGAGAGAGAGAGAGAGAGAGAGGGAGAGAGTGAAATTGGGTTTTAAAAAAATTTATGTCGTGGTGTCACATGTATGGGTTTTGATGGAATATTACCAGATGCTAATGATAAGGGTAGAGCTAGTCAATTGTCAAAAACATGTAACGTTAGACAATAATCAATAGTAGGGATTTGGTCAATTAGCTAAATCATAAGGGTAGTTTAAGAAATTTACCCAAAAATTAGTTTTAAGGGTAAATTTCTTAAACTACCTTAAGGTTTAGGAAAATTTCTAACTCTATCTCTACTGTTTTAGTATTGTCTTAAAATACCCTTACTATTTCTGACAATTATCACATGGCTCCCTCCCGGTAACTCTCCGTCACTAACCATTTACACGTGACTTCACGTGTTTGATTTAATGTTAAATTATATGAAGTACCCCTACTATTTATGTCAATTGTTGGTGACCATACAAATTAAAAGAGTAGAGACCAAGAAGAGGGGAGAAATGCACGGATTAGATTTGTCATCGTCCTCTGGACCACTTGTTCTTTGTTGCAGGGTTGCAGCATCCAGGGAGAGCTTATTTGTATTTTTTCTTCTCTCTCTCTCTTTCTCTCTCTCTCTCCTATCTGCGTTCTTTCATTCTCAGATGCATAAATCAGAGAAAAACAAGGTGCGACAAGATAAATCTATGTCGAAGGCTCTGTTCAAGTGGTTGAAACTTACGAGACCACCCTCCCTCTTCGACCTCCCAAACATTCTATAAGGTTTAAGCACACCAGCCACAACCTTTGTTTTCATCACTTCATGAAAACGTTTACAAGGTCCTTATAAGTGCATGGTTCCTCAAGGCACATTCGCAAAATCTCAGTTGGTGGGCAAGAACTGAATCACGAAGAGCAACATATCCTCTTAGTAGATACCGACGACCAAATATCCAAATCTATCTCTTCGGCCAATCCTGGAGAGGTTGTCGTCAAGATCGACAATAATGATAACGGGTAACAGACTAACTCTTGCAATAATGACAATAAAGATATTCAACAAGTGGTGGAGCCCGGTGTCATCAGTAAGATATGGTGGGAATCCAGCTATGAGTTTTGGAAGGATGGAAGCATGGTGGCCGAGAACATGGACAATGTTGGCTAACAATAACTGTACGGGATTGATGATTCACTATCGAAGTTGATCAAGCAATTCTTGGATAAACCGAAGCAATCAGGAGAGATGTTGTTGGATATGGACTTGGAGATGGCAATGCTTCAACATAATTGAAACTCCACGTCCTTTGTGGACAACCCAGTAAACAACTATGAGTTATGGAAGGATGGAAGCATGGTAGCTGAGAACATGGACAATGTTGGTCAACAACATCAACTGCAAGGGGTCGATTCGTTGTCGAAGCTGATCAAGCAGCTCTTGGATAAACAGAAGTAATGGGGAGAGATGTTATTGGATATGGACTTGGAGATGGCAAAGCTTCAACATAACCGGAACTCCACACCCTCTGTGGACAACCCAGTAAATAGGGAGCCTTTGTTTAGGGATCACAAGGTCTCCTTCCAAGAGCCTTGCATTGAAATTGCCCAAGATTCCATCTGATTACGTTACAAGGATTCGTTCAACATTAAGGAACAAAATCAACGACAGCAATACAATCATCTGGCGGATTTGAGTAGTGGTGATGGCAGAGGATAGGTTTCGAAATGCACTTCCAAATTCCAATGCATCATTTCATTGAAACTCGAGCCTATTGCCAATGAGGACCAACTAGATCCACTGGAGGAACAAGATTGAAAATCAGGGAGAGTGGCAAAATCTAAGCAATTAAAAACTGGGTTGGTGGGGAAGACAGGCGACGAGGATGAAGACGATCCTTTTTTGCATGAGGACATTCCAAAAGAATACAAGAAGGTGAAAGCTTGGTGCCTTCACACTTGTTCAATGGTTTAGTTTAATTTTGCTCATGGCAGCACTAATTTGCAGCCTTTTTCAATCATTGTACTTGAGGACACGATTCCATTTATGGAAATAGGAGATCCTTATTTTGGTGACCTTCCTTTTTTGGTATACTTTTTTGGGTATAATTTAACATTAAAACATTAAATCAAACACGTGAAGTAATGTGTAAACGGTCTATGACGGAGAATTAATGGGAAGGTAGTTGTGTGACAATTGTCAGAAACAGTAGGGTACTTTAAGATAATATTGAAACAATAGGGGTAGAGTTAGTCAATTTCCTAAACCTTAGGGGTAGCGATAATATGATAAACTAATTCAATATCATACTGAAATTGTGAGTAGGAGGGCATATGGATCTACAAAGAAAGCAACCAAAACAAAAAGGTTGTTGATTTTATACTTTTATCGACGTTGTACTCTGAAACCTTGACCAATGTTTTAAAAAGGGAAAAATGTAGACCAGTATCTTGTAATTTGGGTCTAGTCTTACTTTAGTATCCGAATTTTAAAATGTATGAACTCTCAAAACATCCGAGTTTTAGTTCAAAATCGTTAATCACCTTTAAGTGGAATGTAAAAGTACATAAATGCCTTTCGATATCATATAATTTTTTTTATCAACGATCCAAATACCCAAATCTCTCAGAAACTCTGAATAGGCCCAACAACAATTGCAATTCCTTCAAGAACAATAAATTCATCATTGTTCTCCATCCCCAACGAAACATCCCCTAAAATGATGTAACCAGGCATTGTGTGGTTCCAATCCTGGTAAGCCCCACCACATCAAAAGTGCAATACCTTCCTACTACATCAAAACAATAAACGTACTATCCAAGAACTATCAAATAGTGACAACTTTTACATAATTGTTCCCAATACTTTTCCTCCCTCAAATCCAAACTAATAAGAAGAGCTAACTTAGCTTAATTGAACATGTTGAATGATGGTTTATGCTTTATCCCTGTTGCATCACCCAAATGTGCAACCAGAGGGTGACTTCAGTAAGTTTATGAAAATTAGACAAGACCACGTGGTGTGGGTGGCCATTAACTAGGGTGAAAACTCCATGAAACAATCAAGAGTGATTGAGATTCAACATCAAGGTTTTGCCCTTGAAGATTGGATTAACTAAGAAAATGGTGTAACAACATTTTGGTTCAGACGGTGGTGAATGATAACTCTATATTTTCATGCCTTAAGGGCATCATTTCAG